TTTAAAAAAAATTATAGAAGTCGTTTAAGGTGGTCCAAAGTTATGCGGTGACATACATAAAAAATAAAAATAAAAATATTCCAACGGTTAATAACTACGGGAGATTTTTTTTATCAAAATAATCAAGGACTTTCTGGCCACTGATTTCTTTTAGAACCTTTGTATGGACTCGATGTGAGATCTGAAAAATTTCAAACTCTTTCATCAAGTTGAAAAGAAAACCTAAACAATTTCACGTATGGTATTGGTTTTCAGTATCTTTTGGCATAGAATTTACTTAGTAAATATCTTAGCCTTATGAAAAATTAACCTTGTTTGAAGCTGGTTACTTAAAAAATTTAGTTTGAGCTTCAGATTAATTTTAATACACAGAGTTTATTATTATTATTACTTAGTTAGTGTAAACTCACTTAGCAGTGACTAGTTANAAAAAAAATTATAGAAATCGTTTAAGGTGGTCCAAAGTTATGCGGTGACATACATAAAAAATAAAAATAAAAATATTCCAACGGTTAATAACTACGAGAGATATTTTTTATCAAAATAATCAAGGACTTTCTGGCCACTGAATTCTTTTAGAACCTTGGTATGGACTCGATGTGAGATCTGCAAAATTTCAAACTCTTTCATCAAGTTGAAAAGAAAACCTAAACAATTTCACGTATGGTATTGGTTTTCAGTATCTTTTGGCATAGAATTTACTTAGTAAATATCTTAGCCTTATGAAAAATTAACCTTGTTTGAAGCTGGTTACTTAAAAAATTTAGTTTGAGCTTCAGATTAATTTTAATACACAGAGTTTATTATTATTATTACTTAGTTAGTGTAAACTCACTTAGCAGTGACTAGTTATCGAACTGCCCCGAAAGCTACTAGTTGGATTATTACTTTTTTTACGTTGCTGAGAATACCACTTCATAATTTTGATAATTTTAGTCCAAAGGAACTTTTTCTAATTAGCTTCCAATTTCCGAACTGTTTATATTTTTGTACCCAAATTAAAATTTTGGGGATGAAATATAAATACGTATAACCATTTTATGCTTAAATATTTATTATGTATTATTATCATCTTAGTATAAACCCACTTATTTTTAACTAGTTACCAAACTGGGCCGAATGGTACTAGTTATGCTGCTACTATTTTTAGAGAGGTTGGAAATGCCACTTCAGCATTTTGATTATTGTAGCGCAAACCAGTTTTTTTTTTATAGTTTCCACATTGGTTCGTGCTAGTTGCAATATTCATATTTTGTGCTCTCTATTATTATTGCGAAAAATATTAATAAAATTCGTTCATGCTTAAATATTTACTTAGCACTTTGTCGACTGGTTATTGAGTTATTTCCTTCATCTGGCTTCACATATCTAACTTTCAACTAAATAGTAATTTTCCTAGTTTTTTTTCCACTGCCGACTTCTACGACACCATCAAGTTTTCTCTTACTGAATTGTTATTTAATACCTTTCTTCCTTATGAATTTTATTTTGATAACGTAAATAAGCAAATTTGCATATATCCTATATATGCATGTATGCCAGGGTGCCGCACCAAAAAAGAGCGGTTTTTCCAATGGAATTATATGCCATTTTATTGTTAGATTTGCGCCAAAATTATTCGAAAAAAACATTGAGATTAACTTGAGTTGTTCCGATATGAAAATACCTCTAAAAAATTTCATTATTTTGATTTCGTTGATAAAATCTGAACATTTTTATGCATAACTTCTAAACGAAAACTCTTCTACCATCTGCCTTGATTTTTTGGTAAATATATTTCTTAAAAGTAATTTTATTTATAAAAAAAGTCGATCTTTGTGGAGGTACATATTTTTAAATCAACGCAGCTGACGTAAATCTTAATACTTGCCTGAAATATTTTTGCGAAAACCTCAAAATGTTATAGATTTTATAATTCCGATGGGAAACTTGCACCGATTTTTATTTTATTTTTTTTATGTGGAGAGTGATGCACCCTAATATGCACGAGTGGCACATGTATAGGTAAATATGCTTGCTTGTTTGCTCCTGCAGCATGTTGCAATGGTCTATTTATGCATTTCTAATGTTGCCCATGTAATTTTAAAATCTTTTTCTCTGCCATTTGGTGTCTATTTATTTAGCTACATCATTTTACTTCTTCAATTTCTTTATTCTATTTATTTTTTATATTATCTTCTTAATTTTTTGCATTTCTCTGATATCTTGCCACGTTTATATTTATTTTATTTTCATATGTATGTATTTACTTACTTTTTCAAATACCTACAGTATTTTACAGTATTGTTTTTACATAGCTCGTATTTGTACGGTTTGTTTGCCTGGCATTTCCATGTCAATAAACGTAGACGTGTACTACATATATGTGTAGCCACTCGAAATGGCTTTCGGTTTGAAGTGCTTCTAGAAAAAATGCAATAGTATTTGCCACTTCCCCTTTGGCAAAAACCTTTCCCTTCTTCGTTCCATCAAAATTTTGTGGAAAACTATTTCTCACTTCGCTTTATTTCCAGCTGGCGACAGCCCTGGGCTCCCAATGTCCTTCAGAACTTCTTCGTAAGGGATCCTGGTACCACAAAGAGAGACTCCGGCTTTCAGCAATTGTTTAGTCATCTCGGTATCGCATTTCTATGATTATTTGGAAAGAGTAAATAATACGAAGAATGTGTTTCAATAGTGGGTCATTCATACCTATGTACATATGTACATATGTATATCATATTCAACCATCACTGCAGGCAATACGATAATTTAATTTAAGAGCTATTAAAATCCGTGTACATACTAACTAGTGCAAGCTTTTACTTTTCCCTCGTGAATATACGAGTACATAAATATTCATTTGTGTTTTTAAATATGTATTCGCTATAAGTGAGTCATTGACCGCTGTGAGTATATTGTATATGACTAGGAATAAATAAGCATCAACAAACGATTGTACATAAAAAACTTGAATGGAAATACGACACTCGAATTCATTTTAGTTGTGATAAATTGTCTAATGTTAGACACATGTACATAAGTCTGTATGTATATGTATATTTTAGTTAGCTTGAACGTGAGCTACTAGCCCTTAAGAGGATTTGAATGATGCAAAGGGAAATATGAGAAAATAGTAGTAAATGCGATTTATTTAACATATCTACAACCGGCGACAAAAGATAGTACACCACTATTTTGGCCAGCTTGGAGTTTTTTTTGATGTTTTTAATAACAAATAAGGCTATTTATATATCAATTCAAATTTCAAACTTGCTACAAAAATTTGAAAAATGGCATTTCTAGTTTTTACAAAATTTAGAAAAATTCGACAAATTTTCACCAAAATTTTCAAATTTTAATCAAACGCTCTTCGATATTTTTTCCCATACAAAAAAAAAATATCGCGCATCCGTTATATGGAGAAAATGAGCAACATCATCAGCAAACAAAATTCTCAAAACTCAACGGTAGTTTATAGCCACTTAAAAATTGTACTTTATTATACTGAAATTGAGTGAGCTACAAAATTGCACACTCAAAAAAAATTCTAAAAAATTTAGTTTAAAAGTTGAAAATTTTGGTGAAAATTTGTCGAATTTTCCTAAATTTTGTAAAAACTTTGAATCATGAATTTATACCCCACAACGAATCACCTGATAAAATATTTTAGCTGCAATTTCTATAGTTACGGCAAAAATGGACTGCATATTTAATCGTATATTACAAGGCATATTTCGCTTGGAGCGAAATTATCGTATATGCCATACAAAAGTAGAAAAAAGGAAGAAATCTGAGCAACTTAATACTGAGAAAATCTGTAAAATATTGGAAAATTTGTTTGCAAAACGTAAGAGGTGAACAATACAAGTACCTACATTTACATAAGTTACTCTTATTTCTAAATTGGTGAGAGAATAAAAAAATCGGCAAGTTACTTCCTTAAACGTATTGCACCCTACGTTGCCTACAATACCCCTAAATACTCGTAATACCACCACTGAATATTAACCAAGGTCTAGACATTAAAGTTAGAGAAGTCTCTAGACATTAAATTATCTAAAAATAACTATTTAAATACAAAATTCAAAGTACTTAAAAAATTTTTATTTTTTTAATCGGGAAAGAATTCGTCAACATTTTGACTTCAGCTAGCTATAACTCAGAGATTTTATGAATTCATGTGGATAAGTTTTAATAATACGTAGAATTTCTTAGATTTCAATTAAAAATTTTGTCGAAATTTCACGATTTTAAAAAACAATTAAAATTTTTTCAAACCCCATAAAAAATTTAGAGTTTGATATTTTAAGGGCTACCCTAGTTTACAGGTTAAAACCTCGCTACCGATCAGCGACGAACAAACGGAATTTTTTCTTTCTGTGTGTTCATATAAAATTTACAAAAAGTTTTAAAAAGCTTCTCCCTTGGGATATGTTTTTTGGGGTTACGTACCTATGTTCCTTGTATGTATAACTAGATGGCGCTGTAATATCAGTAGTTGTAAATTTCTTTCTAAAAAAGCATTTCTTATCATAGTATTAGCCTTTTCAAGACAAAAATTCTACTCCGCTAGGTAGAAAAGTTAGTGGATCAATGGTATTAAAATTTTGCACAGGCCAGAACTTTTAAATATTTTAGAATATTGAATTCAAAATTGAACTCTTTGTTGAACGGAACACAAAAAATGGGTACACATAAATGTCATATACAGATGGCGCTGCGATTTACTTAAGCTTTATTGCAACCCAAAGCAGCTAATGAAAGCTTCCACTAAAGCTTTTTTCTAGAAAATGTGGCCTTAGCACATCTGCCCCTTTTTCGTTCGAGAGAAATATTTAATTAATTAAAAATCACAATTTTTTCTTTCATTTCTATATTTACATACATATATGTCCCGTTTTAGAAAAACTTACCTTGAGAACTCCGTACTGCCTTCAATACTATTGTACAACTTTAGTTGATTCACTTATTTGTCTCAACTCCTTTAGAGTGTGTACTTGCTTGTTCTTATTTTATGCAAAAATTTTTCAACACTATTTAAAAAGTATGCTATGTAGACGCTTAGGAATTGGAAAACAACGAATTTCTATTAACAGTTTTAAATTTCACAAGATTTTATTTATTTATGTATGTACGTACTCCCGAAAATGTACTTCTTATAATTTTTTTTTGTTAGTCACTTACTTTGATTCGTTTTGTTAGCTATTTTTTATGTTTTACCAAATTAATGTTAGTCACTATTTTATTTGAATTTAAGCTGCTTATTGCTGCTATTCCGCTCAAACGTTTTCACGAGTTTTTCTTTTTTATTTTCCACGCAATTTAATTAAGCGCATAAATCTGCAATAGAAAACAGAGGACGCTAGGTATACCTATCTATGCAGTGGTTGAAGAGAGTGTGGCAGTCATTCCTTTGTTTTTATTGTTTTTGAAGGGCACCGAAACCAGCGAGGCACTCGTACATATGTATGCAGCTTTGTTTTTAGCAGGTATTAAATAAAAGGTATGCGACACCTATAAAATTCACTGAAAATGAGAAAATGAGTTGACATAAATTAAAGCAACAAATTAAAGTAATTAAAAGTGATGTAGGGGAAAGCGTTGCAAAGGGGAGCACTAAAGGTATTCCGACGCTATGCTCAAGGCTGCCGTCGGCAACATTGCCACCAGTCATCGTCATCAGCGTCACACCTCACTGAAGCCCTTCACCAATTTTAATTCAATTTTTATGTGCTACTGTGTCGCTGCAAATTCATCACTTGACACGCGTCGCTCCAGGGAAAGGGCAGAGGGAGAGATGCGCTTTCCAAAAGCAGGATTGTAGCTTTGCATGTTGCTCGACGAGTCACTTTTTTTTTGCTGCTAGCGCGCAGTAGTTGAATTTAATGAGATCTCCCCACTACTTTGGCTATTTTTAGTGTGCAAGCGACGACGATTGCATACTTTAGGGCGTGCTGCACGTCGTCGTCTAGCTCGAATGTATGTATGCATGAATGTATCTACCAAGTGCCATTGAATTTATGTGCACTTGGAATTTGAATGTATACAAAATTATGAAGCAATAAATTTATAAATAACTGAGCGGCTAGTGAGTGAGGCAAAAGATACAAAGCGAGGAGAGATGAGAGGAATTTTAAGAAGAGAAAATTCTTTTTTTGGAGCGTTGCAGCCGATATATTGGAGAAGAAATCTTAATGTGCGTATACAAATGGAGTCACTTATACGGCAAAAAGGTATTAATAAAATGCCAACTATAATAATTCGGGGGCTCAAAGGTATTTGTTACTTTCACTTTTTCAAAGTGTAGCTGGAGCAATTTCAAGCACCAAATAATGTGAATAAAGTGCTCGAAACATTCTGCATAGCAAACTAGAATTATTGTTAAACCTAAGGCACCCGCAAAATGAGCTCGGGAATCCATCTCGTTTTATTTTACATTAACCTAAATAACCTAAATTAATAGAAAATAAAGAAAAGGCTGACTAATTCATATGCCGCTCGAGAAGTGCAAGAATTTATGAATAACATCACTCATGCTTCAGCTTCTAAGGTTGCATACTTTTAGCCACATTTGCAGACAAAGGTTACTATTTCGAATGGGGAAAGCATAATTTGCCACAAAAAAAAGAGATTTTAAAACTAATACCACGCGAATTATCACTATAAAAGCATGTTCTGTATAAATAAACCTTACTTCAGCATTTACAGCCATCACATTAATATTTGTAAAACGATTTTCTTAGGTTTAAGGATTTTAAAGATATTTTTTTGGCGTGTGCAAATAAAATGCCTTTTCAGACACCTCCAGAACTCAAGAATTTCGAAAATAAAGAAATATTTATTTTTTAAATACATGACAAACTTCAAAGTTCCGGCGGGTTTTTTCTTATTTTCTATAATTCTGGGGGTAACAGCAGGAAAATTCCAAAAATTGACTTCCCTGTGTATTTTTGCACCACCTTAAAGTTCACCCATAAGACCTTGTACGAATTTACGTAAGTTTTCGTCATGAAATTATTGAACCTACTTAGTTTCAAACACAATATTTTTCCAAAAGGAGGTTTAGTAAACAAGTTTTTTTTTTAAGTTTCCAGATCATTTTCCAGTGTGTCATGTTTATGTATTTATACCAGCTGTTTAAAGAAATCAAAAAGTTATGAAAATTAACAGGTTTTAAATTTTTAATTTCTTTACAGATTTTTGATCAAATTGATACTAAATTTCATTCAAAAAATATTTTAAATTTAAAATTTTTCTTTTTAGAGGCATGCAACAACCACATATTTTTAATTTATTTTAGGTCCTAAATAATCAACATCGGCTGCATAAAGTGAACATTTGTTGGGAAAAATGTGGATTCTTCGTTTTCTATTTAATCTAAAAATTAGCACCTTTGCAGCAACTTCAATGATAACCTACACATCGACAACTAAAAAAAAATATTAAATATTTGCAACTAAACAACCACACATGCACACATACACACATATGTGCTAAAAGAAAATTAGCAAAAGAAAAAAACTAGAAAAAAAGTACAGAAAGAAAACTCACTTAACTAAAACTTAATTGAGTGTTGCGCCACATTAGCAGCAGTCGTCGCTGTGGCCGTAGTCGCTATTGCTGCTGTTGTATTTCGTTGTACAACAACAACAACAACAATTTGCAATTAGCCAAAATTACAGTCAATAAAGACAAATGCACTGCAATTAGGTAAAAGCTATGGTTGTGAATTAAATAAGGTTTTTTGTTATTGTTGTTGTCTTTTTGCTTTCTGCTTTTCCGCTAAACATCTACAGCTTAGTAAACTTATAAACCCTTTAGAAAAATAAATAAATTGTTAAAAATATGCATATGCTCATTTTTTTTTCTAGACAAAATGATGAAACTTTAATTAAAAATAGGAAAAATTACTGAAAAAGGAAATGAAATGGCGATCGCACTTTATATGTTTCTAAATAAGGAAGTCTTTTTGCTTAGAAAAGTACCAAGGCAATTTAGCCTTGGAACTTTTCTGAAGGGAAAGGTCTTAAAAAAAATAATTGTTAATGCTTTTTTAATATAACAATTCCAAATTCCAAGCCTTTAAATGATAAATATTTTTTTTTTTATTTAATAGTTACTTTTTTGTACAAGAATTTCGAGGTATACGTTTTTTAATATTTTCTTTGCAAAATTTTTATGCAAAAATTTTCACTTTAAGAAATTAAAAAAAAAAAAATATTTGTTAGATTAAAAATTTGAAAAGCGATATTTTTTTATGCTTGAAAATTTCAAAAGTGATTTGAATAATTTTTTCATTTGAAATGTATTCATAAATGTACAAAATCTCAAAAACACTGATTTTTAAGACACAAACACATTTACATGTATCGATGGTCCACTGCAATAAAAAACATCTTTAATTGTCTCTACTGAAATATATGAAATTTTGATTTGTGTCGTTATTGCAGAAGACCATGGATATGTACTTTTGAAAAATTTCTTAAAGTTTATTCAACTTGTATAGGATAATCTTCAGAAACAAGTTTTTTGGAGTTAAAAAATTCCGTAATAGACCTCGTAAATATTTAAAAAGAATATTAAAAAAAATCTAAAATTTCTCAAGAAGTATTTTTTAAGGTACTTTTTAAAATACTTGTAAAGTATTTGTTTAAAGATACTTTTTAAAAACATTTTTAGAACATTAAAAAAAGTGGTTTGTAGTTAAATAAGTACGCTTATCTTACTTTGACTCCGGAAATGGATTTGATTTAGATCATAACTTCTGACCAAATTAAGAAATAAAAAAAAATAAAAGCGTTGTAATAAAATAAAAGGCAAATATAAAATATTTAAAAAATCTAAGTTTTCTTTTTAGCATTTTTTTACCAAATTTAATGAGAAAATTTTGTTTCAAAATTTTAAATGTTTATTCCTTTATCATCCAGAACTTTGAAGGATATTAAATTTGAACTTTTTTATTCAAAGTTTAAGTAAAATTTACAAAAAAAAACTTTAACACTTTAAGTTTTAAACAGATTTTTAGTGTGAACAATTTTTAAATTTTTTTGTTTTAAAATTTTCTTGCGAATGAATGTAAACGCACATTTTTCAACTTTTTCTGAAATTTATTTTTAAAAGATGGGTTTATCTGTAGAAAATTTTGATTTTTAAATATGATTTTGGAATTATTTGAACAAGCTTAAAAGTTCAAACTTTTTGAAAATATTTTTACTGCAATTTGTTTTTAATATTCTTATCAATATTTATTTGTTTAATTTCTCAAGTTCCAAAAAGGTTGTTCTGAAACTTGGACTATAAGGTACATCGTAAATGTTTTTTATTGAAAATTTTAAAATATTCAAGCTGAAATTTGTAGTTAAATAATGAAAATCTGAGTTATACGCATCTTTACGTAATTTCTACTACTTTTATAAAATTTTTCTCAAAATTGTTCTATTAAGTGTTTTTGAACTTTTTTTAAGTTATTTTTAGTCACTAAACTTTTACAGAGAAACGGGCACAATTTAAAATATATAAATACAATGCCGCTATATATTTGAATTCTTAAAAAGATTTTGATTTGGACTTTTGGATTATGACTTTTGGAAAGAAAATCATGAAACTACTTTTAAAAAGATGGGTTCGCCAATACAAAATTTTGTTTTTAAACACAGTTTTTTAATTTCTTGAAGAATTTGAAAAATTCAAAGTTTTTGAAAATTACTATAGTTTTCTTATTCTTCTTCTTTCTTGGCGCTAGTAGTTGCGCTTCAGTGCCAACTGAATATTTTTAGTGCAATCTTTTTTTAATACTCCCAGCAAAAATTTTAGGTTGTTATTGTGTAAAAAAAAAAAATAGTTTGCAAAGTAACTTTTTGAGCTTTATATTATTTGTAAAGTTTTGTTTTATGTTTTATCCCTTTATCAAAACCAAATTTTGTTATGAGAAAGTGCAGCATTAAAAAGTTAATAGTTTAGATTCTTAAACGTTTTCTATATACAAGTTTTTAATTAATTTGATTTTTAAAAATTCTCATTTTTTTCAACAAACGGTTACAAGTAGTGTGAAAATATTCGTGCTGCAATTTTTAATGCTTAAAACGTTTTCATACAAGTTTTTTTTTATAAAATTTTTTTGCGACTATTCCAAAAAAAAAAAAACAAAACAATTTTTTTTTTATTTTTCTCGACAATTATTTATTTACTTTATGGTACTTATGCAGACTAGTTTTGGTAACAGGCAAATAACTTTTCATTCACAACCTTCTTAATCCAAAATCAAATTTTTTCGATGTAGAAGAAAATGTATACCTAGAGTTTCATTCAAAATTATTATTTTTTAATTGTTATTATCTAATTTTGCTTCGTTTAACTAAATAGTATTATTTAGAATGTATTTTTTTTTAGACAATCTTTGATGATAATTAAAAAGTACACATTTTTTCTGTTGAAATTAAAAAAAGAATTCATTTATTTTCATATATTAAAGAGCTTTACCAAGGGAAATTTTTATACAGTTTTTCGATTTTAAATAATTTTTTTATGAATTTGGTTGTTAGTGTATAAGTGACTATTATTTCTACCAAATATTTTTTTTTAAAACGTTGCATTTTTGATTACTTAATTTTGTGGAAAAAGACTATTGGGAATTCTTAAGTTTAAAAGGTATTTGAAAAATTTGGTCAATTTTCCATGTCTTTTTAACATAAATTTTTTTATTTTCCATCAAAATAAACCATCAAAACTATCTATGTATATATGACTTCAATTCTAGTAAAAAATAATTTAACTGTTAACACACAGAAACTTAAGAAAAAAATTTAAAAAATTAAACTTTGCTTTTCTGTTTGAAACGAGCAAAGAATAACAACCTTCACTTTCTCTTCAACACTCTCGGACGCGCTGCCAGCACTCAAGTGATGAGTTTGACTTCAAAAAATTCTTCGCCTTTAACTTTGAACAATTACGAGTATTTTTCAAAATCACTTTCTTACTTTTCGCTTTCTCTAATTTCACATGAACACTTCAACAATGCTTGGACACAAAATTATTTGTATTTCCAACTAAGTTTTCGCTCAGTATTTCCGTAAAACGATTTAACACTTTTTTTGAGAGATAAATTTATCCTGTTCAACCTGGCGAAACGCGACCACGCTACAGTCAGTATGCGGGGAGAGAGGCGTATAGAAAGAAACTAAACGCAGACAGCGACGCACAAACACTGAACGCGATGGCGAAGCGCGTACGCGAGTTGTAAGCAAAAAGCTTGGCTTAAAGTCGGACTCCAAACAATGGGCCACCACCACAAGTAACAACGGCGAAAGCAGAATTTACCGTTTCCGTTGGCGAGTGGCGTTGGAAAATGTATGCCTGGGCTTTCGTAGGAAATGGCGTTTCCGACACTTTAAATATTGTTTGAATATTTTTGCAAAGCGGCAGCGGAAATAGGAAAGCGGCTGTAAAGCAGCGACAGTCTAGAGCAAGCAATTTGGGTAGGTCGGTGTGGTGATTTGCCTATCTGCGTGTGGGTTTATGGTTGACCCTCACACAGACGCGCGCTTGTTTATTTGTTTACTTGCGTAATTTTCGCTAATGAGCTTGCCGCTTTTCACCTCTTTCGCAAAGCGTTTGCACAAATATCGGCGCTGCAGCAAAGAGCGTTTAACTAGATAAGGCAGCTTCGCTAATTTGTTTGACACGCGTTGGAAAACTAAGCGGCGCTACTACGGTAAACGGGCTTTTTTGAACTAACTGACCGGTTGGATGGGCAGTTGATTGACACAGCTGACCGCTTTATGATCAACATTTATTTAACAGCTGATCTAGAATTATTTGCAGCGCGTTTAGTCACTCGGCACATAAAATTTGTTTAATTGAAGCGCTGATATTTTTCAAAATAAGCGCGCGAATTTTTATACTCTCGAAAATTTTGTTTTAATGGCAATTTTCAGAAGCTGCGTTTTTGCTTGACTACTACTCTTCAAACTTTGCTTGGCTATTTGTTAGTGTTGGTTAGTTATTAGCGGGCAAAAGAATAAGAACGCGACCGCTCGTACACGTTGTCGCTTATAGACTGAAGCGCTTGCAAGCGGCTGTTGGCTAAAAAACATGGCCAGAATGGCAAGAACGCAACGTTGCAACTATTTTGTTGTGGCGCTGCTGCTGGCCGCTGCTGCAACATGCCGATTGGGTGGCATACTCAAGGCGCGCTTGTGCATGTGCGTGTGTGTGTGTGTGCAGCGGCCAAAGCAAGAATACCAGAAATTACAAATAGGAACAGCAAAATTAGTTAGCAGTAGAAAATGTGGTATGAGCTAAAAAACCAGCAACAATAATATGTTACGCACTCGGCGCGCTAGAATAGTTGCATACGATTGCAGCAAGTTGCGCACAGCCATTCCAAGCCAGTGCAATTTGACCCCGAAGCGGCGCTCGTAACTCTGCGCTGCACGCTGCAATCAAAACGACATTGCAATGCTGCAAGTATCTTTACTCTCGGCAAATCTCAGCATAGCAAAAGTTGAGCGCGCGCGCTCCCAATCGTAGAGCCAAGCGCGCGTTGCACTGCAAGCTGCATTAAGCGCTGCCGCGCGGCAGTCAACTTGAATGCGCGGCTGCTAGCCTCGCAGCAAGTGAGCGCGTGTTATGCTGCTCGTGCCTGGTTGCATTGCCCCAAGGCAGCGTCGGTCATGGCGTCGCGCTGTCGCCAAAGAGGTACCTCAGCGCGCGCTAACGCTGCACCGATGTTGGAGCGTGAATTGGTATTCGCAACTTCGTTATCATCACCGTCCTGCGCTCGGTAGTTGCAAATTGCTCATCTGTTGTACGAATTAGAGCAAAATAGTTTCTGCCGAGCATTTCGAATGGCGAGAACTTTAGTACTCTAATAACGTAACGATGAGCTTGAAAATTAAATACTCCACAGCGACATGCCGTCGCTCAGTGACAGCTCTCAGCTGCCATTTTTTTCTTACTATTTTCAATTTCAATCTCTGTTAAACTCATAAACGAACTATTGGCCCACCGACTGCTCACGAACGACTCGACCACTTTGACACCACACTTCAGGAAGTATTGCATTGCATGGAGCGCTGTGTATTTGAGTGTATGTGTGTGTGCGCGAATTGCGGAAGTCCAAGTGCTGCCACTCAGAGTGCTACATTAAATTAATTAAGTTAGTTAATCTTGCTTACTCACCACATTTGCCAGCGAGCGGCGGTGCTAAGGCAAAGAATGTCTACTAACAAGGCGGTGCAGCCACTCATCTCGGTGAGTCGGTGAGAGCTTAGGAATACTTTGAGTATTACGGAGAAGAGAAATATGAAATGTTCAGCTACAGCAGTAACTCGTTATGAGGAGGGTATAACAGTAGATGAAAATTAAGTTTAAAATTTCGGTAGTTTATTTTAAATAAGCCGAAGGCCTGGACAGAAATTTTTCACGTTTTTACAGTTCCGCTTATCCCCGAATATGAGCAATCGCAGCATCATTCGAGCGGTCTCTGCTGGGAAAAATCGCTTGTCAACCTTAAGGACTTTTCGTTTCAACCAATGCCGGTTGCTGTTTCGGGCCAGGTCCAAAATCATGGACAAGCGTTATTTGTAACAAAGGCGGTTAAGCAGTTGAAAAAGCTACTCATCAAAATCATTTGCTATTCCAAGGCAACATAAAAGCGCCAAAAAAAATGTATTTCCATTTACTTGTAATGACTCTTTCATCATGCATCATATGCATTTGCATTCCCTAACTCTCCACGCTTTAGTTTCTTTAATATTTGAATTTAACGTTTGCTGCTAACAGACAGCAATAAAAGCGACACCTATGATTCCTTAACGAAAATTACTCGCTAGTTCATATTTTCGCTCAATTTCTCGTTGGTAATGTAAACGGCTCCTAACATAGTTTCGCTCTTCATGCCAACTCTTAGACTTTTTAATGAGAGAAATAATGTACAGTTCCAATTAAAATGTAAATTCACCAACAGGGAATAGAAACCGTTCTAACGGTACAGGAGGTACAGTGGCATCATACAAAACGCTTTGTAATGTCCTTTTAAACATTAGCATTTTTTAATCGGACATAAAAAACTCATGAAATTCATTTTCATTAGGCTCACTTCCGAAATTACAGACATACTTTGGAATTCTAAAAAAAAAAAATATTTATTTTATTTTTTCATCGGTGGCTTAGTTTACGTTGGTTGCCACATCTCACAGTCCGGCAGAGAGGTAACTTAGGCCAGTTAGGCCCACTGTGTGTCACACTTGTTTCGTTCCCTCAGTTTCCCGTCTGATAGAACCCCCGTGTTTCCTTAACGAAGCAGATCTCCACAGAGTCGAGATCAGTTAAAAATAAGTAGTACATCGCAATCTTGCCAGAGCGGGGCAATGGCAGATATAGCGCTCTACACTCTCCACCTACTTGTCATCGTCCCTACAGCTAATACGAAAATCGCCAAACGGCTAGCGAGAGTTGTGGCACTATTGAATCATAGAGCGGCCTCCTTTTGTCCCATGGATCTAAGTCCGAGCGCTCTATCCAGTCGCTTCTTTCTGCAATTCGAATATAAAACCTATTATCGAAGCAGAATATTGGGCTGGGGTAATCCGGGTCCCTCCATGTGTGAACTACATTCAATCTGGTTGCGTCTGAGCTGATATCTATCGTAAAGCTCGGTAGGCAGATGGTATAGTTTCTAGAGCCTTCCTAGGGGTAGAGACTCCCGTAATTAACATGGAAACAGCCTTCTGTAATATATTCAGTTTACTCTTATATGTGGCATTTTCTAGACCCACCATTAAGGCTGAAAAGGCGCTATCTTATATCTTCTCGTAAACAGTACCATTTCAGTTTTGGTGGAATTGACCTTGACTTTCTCGCTTTTCGCATAAACCACTGCTGGGTTCAGTAACTAGTTTCTGCAAATTTTTGTTTATAAAATTGCAATGAGCATTCCCACTGAATTTCACAACAAATTTTACCTAACATTGTTGTTTATTCATACTTTGTAAAGCATCATTAAATACCCACCACCAATTTTGACTCTTCACTGTTAATAATATCTGTTGGCTCTTCTGGAATATTTTTCGAACTAAGAGAAATGTAAATCTCTGAAATTTTGTATGTTAACTCAAGCCGCTGGTTTTTCACTCATCTCTTTGTATTTCGAGCGCAGGCCCACAAACCACTCAAGCCAAGTGTTCCCACTTGCTTACAGTGGCGGTGTGGCAAAAATAACACTTCTAATTTTGGATTGGCTTCTAGATTTTGTATGAGCGTAAGTAAAATGATTGCAGAATGAGGTTCTACGTGTTAGGAAAGGGAAATAAAATACTCAAAAAGTTTATCAGTTTGGTTCAAGCCCAATGCAATTGTATCAAAAAGTGGTCACAGTTACAAGTTCACAATGCACATATGTAAGCTTATGTAGATAAACAAAAGAAAACTCACCTCGTGGATTTAAGAAGATTGACCTCTTAATTCGCAACACGAATCCAAAAACCCTTAACTGCAAAAAAGAGAAATCTATGTTAATTTAATTACAAAATATATATATTTACAAAAAAATGTATAATCTCTAACAAAAACCGATATTTGTGGCAAAAAATTGATTTGAACTGACTTCAAAGCTAAGTATGGAGATCTCAATAAATTCCCTCTGATACATATGTAGTTTCCTATGGTCAGCGCCTTCTATGGGTGAATTATAGTAGGAGGTAAATAGTTTTAAGCGGGGTTCCTTTACATACATAAAAAAATATCAAGGTATTGACCAACTGAATTTCTGGACCTCCCAGAGTTCCACCTCCGCATTCTCAACCGGACTGGTTATTAACCCGCAAATCGATAGAATGTGGTAAATCATCGCCATCGTCAAAGAAACGGTGTAACAACGCAGTGTCCTGTGATGAGGCCGGTGAAATTTCTTACTGCTGGTCTCTTCAGCTTCCAAATTTTGCTAATAAAGCATAGCCCTTACAACCAACTTACTTTTAATGTCGTCTAAGCGTCGTACCTGGCAACATCGTAAGCTGTCTCCATTTTCTAGTTATTTCTGTGTCTGGCAACTCAGCAAAGACTGGCGTTAAGATACCAGTGATGTTAATGCCGCACGACATTTCCGAACAATAACCGTT